CTGCTCTCCCCGCACGCAGGAGCACCAGTATGTTCGACATGCGGTGTGAGGAGGAGGCCGCGGTGCAGCCGCACAGCAGGGCCCGGCAGGAGCAGCTGCAGCTGATCAATAGCCAGCTGAGGGAAGAGGACGACAAATGGCAAGACGTGAGTTCCGGCAAGGCCGCGCGCGGGCAGCGGGAAACCGGGCTGGGCTGCGTAGACTTGGACTTGAAAGCCCAGGCAGGGGAAGGGGCCCCGAGGGGGTTTCCAACAGGGACGCGGGTAGGTGAGGATGAAAGCAGGTTAGCAGCGGTGTGCAGGGTGCAGAGTGGTGACATGGACACGTGTCATCTGCAAGTGCGCTGCCAGGAGTTTGCCACCCAGCGGAGGCGGGCGTCTGGGTGGGAAGTGGAGCGGGGGCGCTGTCTTCTGGGAGTGTGTATTTGAACTGATGATGGTGATGGGACAGTGGTGAGGGCAGGCACGGAAAGCTACCGGTGCCAGGCACTGTTCTAAGTGCGTTGCACGCGACCTTTCATTTAATCCCCAAAGAGCTAGCAACTCTTACCGTCCTTGATTCCACAAATGAGTCCTAGCACAGCTAAGTCACTTCCCTGGCATTACACAGCTAGTGAGTGGGGTGGTGGGAGCCAGATTCCAACCAGGGAAGGAGGGCTAAGGAGGCTGCCGAGGGCTTTGGGATGTGAGCAGGGAGCAGAAAGCTGAAACAGAGCTCGAAGAGAGGGACAGGAAGCGGGAGAGGGGACTCTCTCCTTCATTTCCACGAGGACTCTCAGGTAGCTATTGCAATCTGGACTCTCCTGCTACCTAAGAAAGTTGACTTCTCTGAAGTTGACAAAACACAGTGACATTTATGCCTACAGTATATTCCCGCACTTACCCTGTGCCTGTTACCACATTTAACCCTGCAAGCTTGTGAGAAGAGGTGCTGTTATCATCCCATTGTAGAGATGAGGAAATGGAGGCACAGAGACACTAAAAGAAACATGCCTGAGAGTCCAAAGAGCAGAAAAGGGAGCGTTCATATTATTTCACACAGCTGCAGTCCCATCCATCTGGCCCCAGAATCCTCAGTCTTCATCATCAGGCTACAACTACCTGTAGAATTTGAGGTAAAGGTGTTTTAAGATCAGATGAATTAATGCATATGGAAGCATCGGATCTATAAGACTCAGAAGCCAATTTTTTTCTGCTTTTACTTCCTCCCAGGAAGAAACTCTGTAAATTAATCCCTATTATTTTATTGTCAAAAAATCTATTTACAAAAAAACCCAAATCTATTTACAACGCAGAGGTCATAAATGGGAAGAAATGAAGGTTCTCACAAGCATCTTCTAGGGCAATTCTCTAAACTTTGGCGGCTGACATGAAACCTGATTGCCTATTTCACGTGCCACATTTAAATAAATGTAGTGTAGATCTGTGGGCCCCACCCCCCAGGTCCCTGGTGTGGCCTGGTAGGAACCGGCCACACAGCAGGAGGGAGCAGAGCAACTGAGAGACGCCTCACAGCATTCACAGCCCTCCCTGCTGACATCACCCTGAGCCCCCTTTCTGTCAGGGAGGCCATAGATTTTCATAGGAGCACAAACCCTACTGTAAGCTGGCATCCGAGGGATCTAGGTTATACCCCCCTTAGGAGAATCTAACACCTAATGGTCTGAGATGGAGCTGTGGGGGTGATACTAGTGCTGGAACCGTCCAGTCGCAGGAAAATAAACTCAGGGCTCCCACCAATTCTGCGTTATGGTGAGTTGCATGATTGTGTTATTAATGTAATGTTACAATAGTAGAAATAAAGTGCATAATAAATGTAATGTGCTTGAATCATCCCGAAACCATTCCCTCGACCCCCAGTTTGTGGAAAAATGGTCTTCCATGAAACCAGTCCCTGGTGCCAAGAAGGTTGGGGACTACGGGTATAAATGATAGATGAACATTTCCTGCCTTTGAAGCAGTTCTGCTCCAACCAGACTGATGCTGGGTTGTGTAGGATGCCCCAGTATAGACCCAGGCCCAGTCCGCGCTCACTAACATCTGAAGAGAAGAAGTGGAATCACGTGCACCCTTGAAGAAGAATGTTGTGTCTCTCTTCCTTCCCCTCCCCAGGACCTGGCTCGTTGGAAGAGTCGCAGAAGAAGTGTTTCTCAGGACTTAATCAAGAAAGAGGAAGAAAGGAAAAAAATGGAGAAGTTACTGGCGGGAGAGGACGGGACACGTGAACGAAGGAAAAGCATCAAAACCTACAGAGAGATTGTTCAAGAAAAGTGAGTTCTTTCTGTTATTGTTTTTGAGTGTAAGATATTATCTGGATGTGCTATTTCTAAAAAGCGTTGGTTATCGCGAAGGCTCTAAGACCAATATTTATGCTCCCTGTACTGTCTCTTTCCCATAGTTTCTACCAAGGTCTCTGCAATTTTCACGACTGCTGACTTTATTATGGTTCCCCCTCTTATGCCCCATCCTTTAGAGAGCGGAGAGAGAGAGAGTTGCATGAGGCGTATAAGAACGCTCGGTCCCAGGAGGAGGCAGAGGGGATCCTTCAACAGTATATTGAGAGGTTCACCATCAGTGAGGCTGTTCTTGAACGCTTGGAGATGCCAAAAATTCTGGAAAGAAGCCATTCAACAGAGCCAAACTTATCCTCCTTCCTGAACGATCCTAACCCCATGAAATACCTGCGGCAACAGTCACTGCCTCCACCCAAGTTCACTGCCAGTGTTGAAACCACCATCGCTCCTGCCAGTGTTCTGGATACCAGCACGTCAGCAGGCAGTGGGTCTCCAAGCAAAACTGTCACGCCCAAAGCAGTGCCTATGCTGACACCCAAGCCTTATTCCCAGCCCAGAAACTCTCAAGAGGTTCTGAAGACCTTTAAGGTAGGCTAAGTTCCTTAAGAGTAGAACTAAAACTGAACTCCAGGCAGCCGTTGGAAGCATCCTGATTAAGGAAAATGCGGTTATTTTTACCACACAAAAGCAAAATGTGTTAACATTTATAATTGTGAAGTTTATGTATCTCCAGTGATTTAGTTGGTAAATACTCAAGGGATAGATGTTCTCTTCGATTGCTATTATTAATACTGATGGACTCCAATCAGATTGATGGCCAAGTCACCCCCAGGAGCAAGGTCTATTTTCTAATTTGATACAATGGTGTGGTCCCCTCTATAGTAGTGGTAACAAACTCTAATGCAGTAAGAACCTTGTATTTCCAGCTATCTGGAGATACGGCAAACTCCTCAAAACAAAATTTTAGTTGCTTTTGGTTCAAACAGAAGTATATGCAGCTATTTTTTCTCTTTTGGGGAAAAAATTAAGATTGTGTCCAAAAAGATACTACCACTGGAAAAAAATATGAGTAACGCAAAAGAACGTGGGATGTATTTGGTCCTCAGATGAGACAGGTTTTTCGTTTTAAATAGGAAGAAGCTGGGTTGTTTTACCAATGAATGTGTAAGAGAATGTTCCAGAACCAACAAGCGTACACCAGCCAAACATCTTTTTACTTGCTCGCGTTTTTCAGCATTTTCCCCCTGTCATGAGGAAGTACTCATTCTTTATCTTAAGTTTTTTTAGCTGCAAAGAAAGTCAGTTCTTCTTGTCCCTGCGCACCGCAGGAGCTGGTGATGGAAGCCAGAGGTGGAATTCATCACTGTGATTGGAAGATAATGACTGCGGGCCACAGATCTTCCTTACGAATTTCAGAGGGAACCTAACTACACCTTCAGACTTTTGCTTAAATATCTCAGAATGTATTGTGAAAATCTGTGGCCTAGGCTTTGATAGAACAAAAGAAAAGTGCCTGGCTGTCTTATCTGGATTGAAGTGAGATGTTTGTCCCTTTAAGGGCAGAGGCCACGTCCTGGTTATTTACAGCTTCATCCAGAGAGCCTGGGGCAGGTCCTCAGGACACAGTAGGCGCTCAGCATGTGCTTAGTGAATTAACAAATGAACTTTTCTGAGGAGATGAGCTACTTATCATGCAGGCTCATGCACACAATGATACACACAGAGATGCTCAGAAATCCACCTAAGGATATTAGAAGCCTTCCTTCACCTAGGGCTTCTGATGATGAAAGGTCTGTGATAGGTCCAAGAAAGATTTTATGTTGAGGTGGCCCAGAACAGGGATAGGAAACACATTTATTTAACTGAGTGCTCGAGGCATCTGATCATATAATCAGGTGTCCTTCCATTCCATTATGTAAATAGTGCATTTATTTTTTATTTAATTTTTTAATTTTGAGACAAAGTCTCACTAGTCGCCCTGAGTAGAGTGCCATGATGTCACAGCTTACAGCAACCTCCAATTCTTGGGCATAAGCCATTCTTTTGCCTCAGCCTCCCAAGTAGGTGGGACTACAGGCACCCACCACAACGCCGAGCTATTTTTTTGTTGTTGTTGTAGTTGTCATTGTTGTGTAGCAGGCCTGGGCTGGGTTCAAACCCGCCAGCCTCAGGGTATGTGGCTGGCACCCTAACCACTGAGTTATGGGCACCGAGCTCAAAGTGATCATTTAAACTGAAGAGCTAGGATAGATGATTTTATGGCAAAACTTCAGCTCTGAGAAAACCCCTGTCGCTGGCAAGATGGTGTAGAGACCTCAGAAAGAGTATCCCGGAAGCACATACTGAGGAACTTGACTAGAGATCCTCTTAGTGCTGGAGTCGAGTTTTAACCACTTGCTGGTGGATGTCTGCTGGACTCAACACAGGCCTGAATGGCAACCAACCCTATTGATAGCCTACAGCTCCATCACTGAGGGGGTGGACAGGCACCTGTGGTCAAAGGTCAAGAGTAATATGCAAAAAGGACAGTTGTTAACCACCTGCTCCTAGAACAGAAGCTGAGGGGTGCCTCTGTGTGTGTGTGTGTGTGTGTGTGTGTGTGTGTTTCCATGTTGAAGGCCCAAGTGCGGCAGGGAATAAAGGCTTATTCATTTCCCTAGTACAACAGAATTAAGAATGAAGGAAGATCAAGTTGGATAATATAAAACAGTGTTTTTAAACTGAAAGTTGCCAGCCATTACTAGGTTATAAAATCAGTTTAGTGGGTTGGAATCAGCATTTTTGTAGGAAAAAAAAATGAAGTGGAATAGAATACAATAAAAATAACAGCATAGTGCGTCACACACAATAAAGGTAAATATTGTTTTAGGAAACTTCTCTTCCAGTTATATTCATGTGTGTGTGCTGAGTTGTGATTTAAATTTTATTTTTATGGGTAACAAATAAAGTAGGAAAGTTGGTGGCTTAAGAAAAATAAACTATAACTAATATCTGGCCTTCTATTATTTCTGGTGGAAGATTTTAGAAGGCCTGGTAATAATAATGGCTACTAGTTAAACCCTGTGCCTGTGTTAATCCACAGCATCTCTGTAACAGCGCATGAGCGAGGCGTTATTTGAAATTTTCTATTTGAGCCCAGAGGATAAGGAGCGTGGTGAAGATTCTGTGGCTGCTAAGCCAGGATTCACTCGGGGGTCGTCTGACTGCACAGCTTGCTCTCATAACCTCTCTGCATTTTGCCTCAGACTTCAACACAGAGATCCTAGATGCCTTTTGATAAGCCCGGCTCCCCACCCTCTCTGCTCCTCCCTTCGTGCTCTGCCTTCCCAGACGTGTGCGCAAAACAGGAATATTTTAATGTGCATCGTCTTTTTCTCTTGAAAAAAGAGAGGTGGGAAAACTAACCCAAACTAGGAATTTATTGTCTTGTAACATAGTGTAGGATCAGGTCCCTTGCCCTCCATGATAGCTTCAGAATGTACCCATTGTCCTCTCTGTCACCATGGGAGAACCTCTGAAACAGTCCATTTTAGGTAAGTTCTACTTGATTTATATCATAGCAGTCAAAACTTAAAGGAAAAAATACTGAAACCTAAATGAAATGTGTTTATATTTGCAATTCATTAGTTTACTATACTTTAAAACAGGCCTCCTCAAAGTACATCCCGCGGGCCACATGTGGCCCGCCTAGGACATTTATCTGGCCTTCGGGGTGTTTTGCCACCGCTGCCTGTCCTGCTTAGCAGCTGACTCGTCCCGGGGCCCACAGTCCGGCCCTCCAATGGTGTGAGGGACAGTGAACTTCCCCCTGTTTAAAAAGTTTGAGGACCCCTGCTTTAAAATAAAAGCACAGCATAAATAAGGTGTACATGAAATGTAATCTAAAGTAAAGTGGCCCGAGATGGCCAGATACCTTTCAAAGAAGCTCTGAAGGATGGTGTTGATGGGACTAATTCCTAGAACCAAGCAAAACATCTGGAGACTGATTTTTTGTTGGACTGTGATTTTTAAGTGATCATCTTTTAAGGTAATTCTGAATGTGTTATTTTGTCATAGTCTTCAGTTGAGGTATAGCATGTTTTTTGTTGATTCTGTTTTTTATAGGTAGATGGGAAAGTCAGCATAAATGGAGAGACAGTTCATGGAGAGGAGGAGGAGAAGGAGAGAGAGTGCCCCGCGGTGGCACCTGCCCCCTCCCTAACCAAGTCCCAGATGTTTGAGGGTGTGGCCAGGGTGCATGGGTCCCCTGTGGAGCTGAAACAAGACAACAATAGCATTGAGATCAACATCAAGAAGCCAAATTCTGTTCCCCAAGAACTGACAGTAAGAACCAAACTTTTCATTCTCTTCCTTGGGAAAATTTTGTGGTGAAAAAATCTGTTTTTTAAAATACGTAGGTGTTGACAGTGATCCCGTCTTCCCATGCCGATGTATTAGTTTGCTAAAGCTGCTGTAACAGAGTACCACAGACGGGGTGGCTTAAACAGCAGAAATTAATTGTCTCACTGTACGGGTGGCTAAAAGTCTAAAATTAAGGCGTTGGCGTAGTTGATCCATTGTTGGGAATGAGGGAGAATTTGTTCCAGGCCTCTCTCCTAGTCTCTCGGGGTTGCTGCCAACCTTGACTTTGCTTGGTATGCAGATGCGTTATCTTAGTCCCTGCCTCAATTTTCATATGGTGTTGTTTCTAAGTGCAAGTTTGCACTTTTTATGTTCAGTGAGTACACTAGTCATACTGAAGAAGGGGTCCCCCCACTCCAGTATGACCTCGTCTGAACTAATTACATCCACAACAACCCAATTTCCAAATCGGGTCACATTCTGACTGTCATGTTAAGACTTCGGGATGCAAATATTGGGAGACATAACTCAGCCTCTAACGGGGGTGGGGGGGTAATAGAAGGTAATACGTGTCTAATTCATGAACAAGAAATTCCTCTTTCTCATCTTCACATTATTTGTGACCAGACTTATAGAAGAATAAATCTTTAAAATGTCTTTTTCCCTGTTTGTTGAGGACCTTATTAGACTTAATACTATTTGAAAATAACTGGCGTATCAGAATCTGCCTTTTCGTCTTTGACAACATACATAAAACAGCCTTTTTCTTATTAATTAAAAAATTAAAATTCGATAAAAACAAAACTTATTTTTACTGGCTTCCCTTTTACAGAGCCCAGCTTTCAGGGTGCAAGCTGAACTCTGTTCAACCCTCCTTGTCCTCACCAGAGGCTGAGATTCTACTGTTTTAATTTAGAGCATTTGGATTTGTGTTATACTTAAATGATGGAGAAAACTGTCAAAAAAAATTATCCCCCAGCACTTAAAAATATTTGGTCCAGAAGGAGATGCTCCAGGCCTGAGCATTAGGTAACTGCGTTAAGGTAAAACCCTCCCAGAAGACTAGATATTACTATTTTCCTTCTGGGATTTGTCTTTGGGAGAATAAAATCATGTTTTTTCAGAGGAGTTGAAAGATTATAATTCTTCCTCACAGTGCTCAAATGCTCTATGGAAGAGATTTAAATGGGAATTAGATCAAAAATCTTTTCTCCGCTATTTTTTCCTGGTCTCCAGAGGCTGAAACTGAGTCTCTCAAATTGGACGTTAATTTTACTTTTCATTTGTGTACATGTTATCACCTCGGAAGAGTCCTTACAGATTATCATAGGATAGAGTTTTGACTTCTGCTAGCACTGTGAGACTTAACTTGTGGAGTAAACATTACTTATGCTCTTCAGTTTAAATCAGAAGCCTCCCAAATTAATTAGACATGGGGTGAAATTGCCTTTCTTGGACAGATAGAAAAACTCTGTTCTTATTTCTCTTTTGCCCTATTTCATAAAAGGCGCTGCCTAAGTTCCCTTCATAAAAAAAGATTTCACACTGGTACGTATCCCCAAAAGTATCTTGTTTTAAGAAAAGCAAAAGTACACGGTCTGAAAGAAGTCATGTTTTGTTGGAAATGAACACAGTACAAGAACACTAGACCAAAGACAAGTTCGTAGGCTTTCTTCCTGGAAACCCGCCTGACCCTAGGCAGCTTCAGGGTACAGGTCCAAACTCATGGAAAAGTCTGGAAGCCTCTTCCTTTTGAATATTTCTTCTTTGTTGAAATTGCCTGTTCAGAATGACATCTAGTTTGATAAATGCTGGTGGTTCTGAATCAGTAGGGGTGTTCATGTTCCCTGTCTACAGGACTAAAGGATCTGAAATTGACTACGGCAGGGGCTCGTGTGTTATTTTCTGGGTAGGCAACCATCTGCCTGTATCTATCAGAACATAAACAGCTGTACCAGGCAGAACATTGGCTCATCCCTGTAGGACTCTCCATAACCACCTGCACCTTACAACACCAACTTTGTCCATTCACAGTGTGTCATCCCAAGACTCAAATTATAAGAGGATCACTTCTCCAGTAAACCCATTCCTCATTTTGCTTCCTTCTCCATTATTCCAAGGAAAGCATTTCTCCACTGTGTGGCAGCCAGTATCCTCCTATTTAAAAAACAGAATTAGTTGGTCATGGCAAAATGTGGTGGCCAGCTTAAAATGGGAAGCATTTCAGAACCTCCCAGGGACTGATACCAGCTTGGACTTGAATTTCTATCTCTAATTCATTTGCCCAATTCTCTGGGGCTGTCAAAGGAATAGTGTTCTTCTTTTTAAATAGTGTCTTTCTTCTAAAAACTGCATTCCCAAACAGATACAGTCTCGACAGAGAAGTAGCCTCACCCACCACTAAAATGTCACAATTCCTTCAGGGCGAGCTGGAGCTACTCAAAGGCCACAGCAGAGGCCGTAGGCAGGGGTATTAATTCAGAACGTGAGGCAGTGCAGCAGAGAAGGGTGGCCGGGAGACTGTGGGGACGGGGAGGAAAGTGTCAGACTACGTGGCTGGCATGGTCACTGTGCCATCATGTGTCATCTGAGGACTAATTTATCCTTGCAGAGGGGTGTCTTGTGTTAACTGACAAGTAAAAATGAAAGACCCAATTTGAAATAGAAAAAGAAACTTAAAAACTTGCTAGGAAAACATTTTTCAGAAAGCCACTAGAAAAGTATGTGAAACAATATACAGTTAAATGCGGACACTCTCCAACTTAGATTTTCAACTTCACGATGGTGTGAAAGCAGGATGCATTAGGGGAAACCCTACTTCCGATTTTGAATTTTGACCTTTTCCCGGGCTAGCCATGCACAGTGAGATTCTCTCTCTGATGCCGGGCAGCGAACCACAGTTCCCAGTGAGCCCACCGACGACTGATGCACTCGGTGTACCGTGTCACCAGACGCCCAACTACGGGTTAGCGTAAGTGCTCTGACCACATTTAAGGCTGGGCTAAGCTATGAGGTTTTGGTAGGTTAGGTATATTAAATGCATTTTTGACATAACAATATTTACAGCTTATAATTAGTTTATTGGGATGTTACTGCCTTGTAAGTCGAGGATTACAGAGGAGGGAGGCCAGGGAGATGTTAAGATGGCAAAGACTAAGTAAGATCACTGCAGGTCGGGTTTAGTCTGGGAAGGCTTTTTGTGGGATGTGGATTTTGAAACTTGACCTTAAATGTGGGATTGGCGTTGGAATGGAGGGAAGCGGGCTGGTCCACATACTGAGGATAACGGGCTCAAAGGCAGAGGCAGTAGTGAGGACCCCAGGAGAGGGACCCCGAGAAGGATGAGAGGTGATGAGGGGCGACCAGGTGCCACATGCTCCAGGGAGAGAAATCAAATCTCTCCCCCTCCCCCTCACTGATTCTTGAGATAGTTGGGGGTTTGATTCATTTTACCCTCTGTGTTGAAAGCCCAGTGGAAACCTACTACTTTTTTTTTTTTTTCATTTTAAAGTATTGGCTTTGAGAAGAAAATCACATCCTGACACAAACACAGACTCTTAGAAGGCAGAATTGAAAAAGAGTTTGGAAGACCTTCTGATCTGAGGACTAATTTATCCTACAAAGTCAGACACGTTTCGCAAACTCATCCGAGAAAAGGTGCCACATACCTCCAAGCTGAATGTCGCTGTAGTGACCTCTGAGGCACCCTCCTGGGGACGCTCTGCAATGACACCAGGGCCCAGTCCATCCTCCCTAGGGTGCCCAGCACTTTTTCTAGGACCAGTTTGCAAACTTAACCATCAGACCTCGTACAGTACATTTCTCAGAAGCCATCACGTGATAGGTGTAAGGTGTCTTGGATTAAAGTAAGGTTGTCAAAATTGCCATCTTGAACAGATTAGAATTTCCTGCCAGTGAGGTGAATTCCTTGTTGTCTTCTAGCTCAGTGTTTTAGTACTTCCATTTGTAATTCTCTAAAAAACACAGCTATGAACAGCTTTTTCCAGAAGATAGGGCTCTCGCTCTCTCTGAGACTTATTCAGTCATCCTCAGAGTCTCTCTGAGACTTATTCAGTCATCCCAGTCAACTGGGTAGAGTGCAGGATTTGTTGTCAAATGTCAACAAACATTTCCGTAGAAACTAGTTTTCTCCATCTAGAAGTAATTATAAGATTGCTAGATGTTCGCTCCTCAAAAATCATTAAAGATGTATAAATACAGGTGGTGTCGTAGCTCATGGCAACCTCAAACTCTTAGGCTCAAGAAATCCTCTTGCCTCAGCCTCCTAAGTAGCTACAGGCACTTTGCACAACACCTGGCTAGTTTTCCTTTTCTTTCTTTCTCTCTTTTCCTCCCTCCCTCCTTCCCTCCCTCCCTCTCTCTCTTTCTTTCTTTCTTTCTTTCTTTCCTTCTTTTTCTTTCAGTAGAAATGGGGTCTTGCTCTTGCTCGGGCTGGTCTCAGACTCCTGAGCTCAAGCAATCCACCCACCTCACCTCCCAAAGTACTCGGGTTACAGGCCTAAGCCACTGTGCCAGCCCTCCTGTTCATTCTTTCCCAGCTCTGGCTTCCCCTTCCCCTTAGACTCTCTGACGGTTGACCAGCCCTCTCTCACCCGCTCATCCCAAATGGCGTAGCCCATGCTCTCACTGCTGGCCAGCCCCTTCCCAGCAGATGTGGAGCAGTTCTCCCTCACTGACCAGTGGCCACACTCTGCTATTGAGTATTGAAATTATTTCATCTGACTTTCACAACCCAAGTAACAAGGTAGATCTATTTTTCCTATTTTGAAAAATCTCTAAGGCCCAGGGGTCTCCAGCTTTTTTCTCTGCTGCATGTTGGAAGAAGAGGCATCTTGGGCCACACATTAAATACACAAACACTAAAGAAAGTGATGAGCAGAAAAAGGTCCTTGTGTACTTTTTGTGACATCGAACACCACAGATAAGCAAAGAAAGTCCTCCCCAAATCTGCACGTGGCCCA